TTATTAATATTATTATTATTATCATCAGGTGTTATTATCATTATCATCATCATTTTAATATTATTTATCACAGAGTTCAGTGGTTGTCGGGTCGTACTTGGTAAGCTTTAGCATACTTATTGCACCGCTCAACAGTATGGCCCCACAACTTTTACCGTATCAGTATTAATGCTACACGGGTAGCATTGCTAACCACGGTAATTATTACAGCTTGAAGAGCAAGAGGCAAGTAGGACGTGGAAGCCCCGGTTGAAGTACCACAAGTCCACGTCTTCTTCTGGCAGGTGAGCTTGTACATTGAGCTTTTTTCGCGCAATCACTGATTGCAGGTTCACAAAACATGTCTGTGGGAAGCTCCTCAGGTGGATGTTATTATGCAATAAATCCATTGCAACCTACACATGTTAAGTCATCTTTCAAAATAATAGTGTTATAGTACGTGCGTGCGTCGTCCGTATGCTGCTGACAGCAGTTGTGAGCACATCCCATAGGTAGTCACGTCTGTGGCATGTTGAGTTGCATCACACGCTCTCGTATTGCAGTGACTCGTCTGGTGGCTGGACAGAAGAGTTCCCTCTACACAAGTGTGCCTGCGCTGGCCAGACGCAGAAAATGCAGGAGCTGCTAGCGCAGGGATACAGCCCGACGGAGATGGACCGGGACTCCTGGGCGCCAATACATTACGCTGCCATGTACGTGATGTCCACGACCCACCTAACGTTCAGCTCGATCGATCGATAAATTAACGGCGTGCATATTCGCATTCAGATGGACCTGCGAATAAATACGTAGCTATGAAAATAGATTGTGCACGCATCTCAATGAGAGAATTACAGACACACAAATAGAGCTGTAAATACTGCGACAACGCGTCAAGTACAGTTTAATGTATCCATGCTTGCTGGCTTAGTGGTGCACACACCAATGCCTGGAGTTGAGCTTCGACTTTGAGAGGTTTTGCTTTCCTCTCACACACCAATGCAAATGCCAGAAGTTGAGCGACTTTTAGCTTTCCTCTCACACACCAATGCGAATGCTAGGAGTTGATCTTCGACTTCTAGAGGTTTCACTCTCCTCTCACCGACCTTTTAGAGGTTTTTGTGGGACTTATGAGACGTTTTAGAGGTTTAGAGGACCCTGGGGACTGACTAGCCGAGCTGTCGGTGGCGGCTGTGAGCCGAGCTGATCGCGTGACGTGTTTGCTTCTCCGCGTGCAGGTACGGCCAGCTGGGAGCGATCCAGGTGCTGCTCAACCACGGCAGCTGCCCGCCGAACATCGAGAACAGCATCGGCTGGACGCCGCTGCACTTTGCCGCGCACTACGGCCACTCGTACGTCGTCGAGCTGCTGCTCAACCACCCGTCCGTCAACATCGTGAGTGTCTCGCGTCGCCGGGCTCCTCGCGACGTCTCGTCGTCTCGAGACACACGAGGGCGAGGCTCTAGTACCTACTCCCCCTCCACGCGACCCCTCCCCTCGCGCGACCCCTCCCCCTCCGTACGACCCCTCCCCTCGTGCGACCCCTCCCCTCGTGCGACCCCCTCCCCCTCCACGCGACCCCCTCCCCCCTCTACGCGTGGTTCGGCTGTTTTCTTGAGGGGGTGGTGGGGGTAGCCGAAAATAAGTCCACGGGATATTGTCTTCTGATATACCTTTCTTAACAGAAATCGATGCAAAGTAATGTTGTATATTGATGCTGGCCGTTGGCTGACCTGTGTCATCAGAAATGCACACGTGGCTACTATACCCTTCCACCGAAGTTGCATCTTCTATCCCTAGTTTGAAGTAGACGCTGAGAATTCTGGGTAGATAATACGCAGTGTATTACATGTGAATTAATTTAAGAACGCAGTCGGACGTGTTTAGATTCTCCATTGTATTCCGTCTATGATGTTATATTCCTTCCATGCGTAACAGAATTCCAAGGATAAGGACGGCAAAGCACCCGTAGATTTGTGCGTCAGCAGCCCAAAGACGGACTGGCAGGCATGTGCAAAGCTTCTGCAGCGAGCTGCGAACCAAACGGTATGTTGGTAACACGCAAGTTTTGCTACACAGCAAGCCATCGTATTCAGGCCCATCTACTCTTTTGCAAACCTATATAACAGCTTTTGTTCTGAGATAGTTACTCGGAAATGTATTACTGGCAGTATGATTACTTTCTATGGTTAATACAATACAATGAAATAATTAATTGTGGTAGTGATAGCAGTTTAATTTATCAGCAGTCATTATTATCATTAATATTACTGCTATTATTGTTTTTGTTGTTGTTATTGTTGCTGCTGCTGTTGTGTTGATGTTTTTGTTGCTGCTGTTGTTGTTAATATTATTATTATTATTAAACTTGTATCTCTAAACGTTAGTAGCCTGAATCTTACGTGTACACGCCGGTGAGACGTGTGCAATGAGGAAGCGCATGCGTCTGACGTTCCCTCTCTCTCTCTCTATCTCGCAGCCGAAGAAGATGCAGGTTTCGTTGCTGGACGGCTCCAACATGATGTTGAACCTCGAGGCAGGCAAGGACACGACCGTGCAGCAGCTGCAGGAGCAGCTGATGCGGGAGCTGCAGCTACCCGAGGCTGCCACCAACGTGTTTGCCTTCTGGGTCTGCTCACCCCACCTACGTAAGCACTGCTGGCAGTACCGATGAATGCGCGAGTGCAGAGAGTAGGGGAGACGGTCCTGATAGTGAGGGCACCTGCGAGTGAGGGCTGGCTGTTGTTGTAGTGGGCTCTTCATAGGGAGGTTATGTGCACGTGACTGCAGAGCACCTTCTGTTCCAGTCACCTGTATGTGTGCGTGTGTGTGTGCGCACCTGTGTGTGTGTGTGTGTGTGTGTGTGTGTGTGTGTGCGTGGGCGTGCGTGCGTGCGTGCGTGTGTGTGTATGTGTGCGCGCGCGCGTGTTCGTGTGCGGCGTGTGTGTGCGTGCGTATGCCCTGCACATGAGGCCAGCGTACTGCGAAGTATAGTAAATTTTGTTAGGCATGTTTCCAATCGCTCCAAATTCTTCTCCGTTGCCATAATACTTTGGTCAGGTTAGGTGTATATTCTCGCAGAGTTCCAAAGAAGATGCAGGTTATTTTTACTTTTACAAAGCTAGTAAGTTAGTAAACGTTAAGCTTACTGTTATATTATATTATATTATATTATATATATTATTATATTGTACTGTTATGTTATATATATACCCCGCTATGCTTGCTGTTATATATATTATACCCCGCTATACTGTTAAGTTGTCTGTGTTTTTCGCCGCGCCGGCCTGACGTATGCTCGTGTCTGCTTGCAGAACTGCAGCTGAAGATGGATCACAAGCCGTGGTACCACCTCGACCTGTGGCAGAGCTCTGTTGTCAACCAGCTGACAGACCTGAGTGACACGTCGCGTGAGCAACCGAAGCTCTACCTGCGTCGCGACGCGCGCCTCAGCGTCAGCGAGGAACGTGAGGTGAGGGTCGACCACACACCCTAACGTCTAGTGCTATATATATATATATATATAACAAACAACAAATTCAAATAATAGGTTAAGGGCGTTGTGTTTTAATACACGAGATTTCGAGGTGTACATCTCTTCATCAGGCAGTTCAGGAGACATCTCGAAAGCTCGCATATTAAAACTTAAACACCCTTAACCTTTTATTTGAATTTGTTTTTTGTCTACATGGGTGTTCGTATGTGATATAATATAGTGCCTAGGGCTAGGGTGACGATGGCAGTGGTGTATTACGTCCACGCGCATCTGTACTGCGTCAGCGTGGTAGTCGTGGTGCGCCGATGTGTTGCATAACGATAGCACTAATACATGTCTGTACTGTATCAGGGTAGAATTTATGCACTGCTATGGGGTTGGGTTAACGCTAGTCCCGTTGTACTGTGTGTGAGTGAAACTTGTGCACCGATATGTTGCATAACAACAGCACTGATGCAATTCTGTCCTGGGTACTAAATACTAATGCAGTTGTCAGGATTGGATTTATGCAATACTATACTATAGCATGATGGTAATAGTGTATGTGTACTATTCTGCAAATTACAATGAGATATGGGTACAGAGAACATGATTGGGCTGTTGGGCTGATACTGTTGGGCAAATCTAGGTTAGATATTCTTACCTATTCTTAATTACCCCTCCTAATTTCTCACCAAACCTATATATTCTTTAACACTTGCTGACATATCATAAGCACATTTAACTGAAATGTAATTTTAATCCAATGGGATTATAACAGGAGTGTATAATATTATACAGTGTCTATATATAGACAATCCAGTGATCGAATCTTAGACCGGTGGTAACGGCCGGAGGGGTTATTGCGACATTACACAATTAACGGGGATCACGCAAGGGGGGGACATAACTAAAAGGGAAAGAAAGGTATACGTTACAAATACGTTACTAATATATTATACACTCCTGATAATTATAGGAGAATGTGCTGCCATCTTACAGCTGTTTGTGACATGTTTTGTGAGTAAAGATCGCTCGCGTGCTTCTGCAGGTAATCAGCAGATGTCCGACGGCAGTGAGTCTACTGTTCCACGAGGCACACGATAACTACATCAGCTCCAACTACCCCTGCTCTGATCAAGAGGCGGCCATATTGGCAGCCATATTCCTACAGTACTTGCACGGGGACTACGACGGCAAGAAAACAAAGACATACCTCGCAAAGTGAGTGCAGATTCGTAGGCGTGGTGCAGAGAGCTGATTGGCCTCGAGGTCACGGGAAGCCAGGAATGCACCGTCGTGTGTGTGTGCGTGCGTATGTGTGCGTGCATGCGTATGTTCATGCCTGATTGTGCGTGCCTCTACTTGTGTGTATGCATATGTGTCTGAGTGTGTGTGTATTTGTGTGTGTGTATTTATGTGTGTGCATGTGTGCATGCAAACAGGCACATGTGTAAGTTAATCTGCATCTACGCATGCATTTACGCATGCCTACAGGTTGCTCCGGATTACACTGTTCTTGATTTCGTGTGCAGCATCGATGTACATGTACATTAAAAACTCGTACTCTACCCGTGCAGAGAAGAACACCTGGAGCGGCTAATACCAAAAGCAAAGATGCGGGCCAGCAAGGGCACGAACTGGGTGTCGAAGATCGTCACCGAGTACAAGCAGCTGTCGTCGCGGCTGAAGGACAAGAGCCAGTTCAGCCTGCAATACAAGTTCCTGTCATTTTGTTGGCATCTGGACGTATACGGGTCAGCCCTCTTTCAGGGCATCGCCTTCACGGGCAAGGTACGTGCGTGCCGCCGAAATTGTTAAAAGTCATGTTTATCCAGTCATTTTCATATATCTTAATATAATGCTACACTAATATTACGCACAATAATATTACACACAAGGTATGTGCATTGCATGCTGACAAAATTGTGAATACCCCTAAATATCTATAATTATGCATTCACGTTTGTCATAAAACAACATTGAATTTCGAAATCTTCATTTTTGGTCGCTGACATGACACTCGCGACCGTGCTGCCACCCTGAAAAAAGTTGCGCATTTGCTCATTTATTTTGCATGATACAGACCGAGGTCTAATCACAAAAGTGCAATTATATTTATACCTAAATGCTATTTAACCGAACGATATTTATTTTAGGACAAATTTATCCATATTATAACTGAAACTATATGTCGTTTATAAGATATTGCAATCCTTCTGCTTTTAAATTAATAAATAAGAAACACCCTCGGTCTGTAGCCCTTGGTTGAAGTCCTTTTGCACAACTTTTCAAATAGTGCGCTTTGAGTAGTGCCACCGTCGTTGTAATCAAAATGTAGTCGTTAGTATTAAAACATTTTTTAATAATATTTCTAATGTTGATTGAACCGTGAAATTTTTAATGTAACGTAATTTTAACCTAAATCAACTGAAAATAACCTTAGAACCTAGAGCCAAGTATTCCTTTAATGTTTTTATTTTGTAGCATTCACTATGCTGTTAAACGCAAATAATTCAACATCTAGCATACTGACAAAAGCCTGTGATATGATTAACATGTCTGTCTACGTTAAACTTGGCAAAGAGACCTAAACGTGACAGCGTAAAACGCATCTACTGTATTGAAATCTCGTGTAGATAAAACGAAACCGCAATAAATGAGCAGCACGTTTCATAAATGCTTACTTTTTCTGCCTGCAGGGTGCGCTAGAGGTTCAGATTGGCGTGAACTGCAATGGCATCCATCTGATCAACTACCACACGAAGGTGATGTTCGAAACGTACGCGTTTAAGAGCGTCGAGTGGATGCACTCCGTCGAGCCGCCCTACGTGGAGGTGCGCGTGCGAGGATCAGCATCCAGACCGCTGAGGATACGTACGAAACAGGTACGATGCTGCATGTGAGCACTCAGCCAACCACCCATCCACCCCGTGACAGTCGAGCACGACTCCAAGCCCCTCCCCCGACCACACGGTCGTACTAGAGTTGGAAAGTTGCTGGGCGCATCTTCTCCAGCTCGCTTTTCGAGAACCGACGCGGCATGTGGTGATTAATTTGCCCAGGATGGCAACAGTCTACGGTCGCCTCGGATGGTTCGTTCTCTCTTGTGCATCATACACGAAGCCTTGAAATCTCGGGATACGTACGGTATTGCTACTTTTAACATTCCGATCGCTCAATTAAATGATGTGTGACCCGGTCAGGCAGCAGTCAAAGATAATCCTCCCCCCCCCCCGGCCGCGCGTCTTTCCGTAAACTGCTGCGCCGGAGATCGACCGAGCGTTTACTGTGGTTCGCTATCTCTTGCAGGCGCACGTCATATCGCAGCTGATGACGAAGCTGTCGCAGCAGCCGCCTGCAGTCCGGTAGTAGCCGCTCTACGATCACGCTCCCCGGCAGACGCCGACGTCGCGAGATCGGCACCTGCAGATTGACAGGTCGACCGACGTGTTGGCCGCAACGTGGTCGCAGAGTCTTCGTCGAGTGTGCGAGGCGTGAGAGGACACTTTGAGCTCGCAGTTTAGGGAAACTGTCGCATTTGCGCGTCTACGAACAGCATAGGAACAGTTGAGAAGAACTGCATCGGCTGTGGAAGTGATGACAAGGAGAGCTGATTAAGTGCTGTTGGTTTTTGAAGATGCACCTGTCAGGATGGAGGAGGGGGGCAGCAAAGGTTATTCGATAGTGGTCATTGCAAGTTTTGAGGTGCAAAATAATGTGATAAGGGACAATTCTGTGGAATTTGGATGTTCCGTAGTCAAGCGCACCACACATTTTTGTGCTTTGAATAATTGGACCTAACACTTATACAGGTTACATAGGAACATAAGTATTGCAATATGGGCATTGTGATGCCAGGCGCGGTGTTACAGACAACCCATGTTCAGACATCAGGGCTCTGAGATCGTTGCATCACTGGGTTCAACACTTGATTGCACAAAGAAAAATTATAACTAATAATCATGACAATTGATTTGGTATGTGATCCAGCTTGGTCCTGCAGCTTTGCATTCTCGCTGCTTGTTCTTGCCTTGTTATTGACTCCAAAAATCTGCGGAGGCAATTTCTGCCATCGAGGAGTCCTCTGGCAGTGTCACCTGGCTTACACGCATGTACGGTGCAACGTGGGCGTCAATGCGAAACGATAACGGTATTCGGTACAAGCACCGAGCCGTACATCAGGGAATGGCTTGCTTCCGTGAACTCCCGCCGCAGATCTAGACCTGTCTACCTGGTAGCAGCCGCGGCAACGTCAGTAGATGGATTTGTGTAACCAGGCTTGGCTGAGCAGATGTGCCGCCATGTCTCATTGATACTCCGTACCATGCATCTTTACCAGAGTGTATACAACCTTCAAGCAATACCCATTACTCGCATGTAATGCCTGATGATGCCCTAAAGTCTTATTGATACAGATTGCTATTCATAAATAACAGAGGGAATCGCCTTGTCTGATTGATACTCGATACCATGCCAGAGGGCAACAAAGTGTTGTACGGATACCCAGTGTCACGCATGTGTAACAGAGGGTACGACAATGGATCGATGCCAAGTATCGTTCATAGATAACCGAGGGTACTACAGTGCCGTATGGCTACCCATTACCATCTATGTGTACTAGAGGATAATGCTGGATGGCTACCTAATGGCATGCGTGTATACTAGAAGGTTAAGCTGATGGCTACCTAATGGCATACATGTTTACTAGAAGGTTAAGCTGATGGCTACCTAATGGCATACATGTTTACTAGAAGGTTAAGCTGATGGCTACCTAATGGCATACATGTATACTAAAAGGTTAAGCTGATGGCTACCTAATGGCATACATGTATACTAGAAGGTTATGCTGGATGGCTACCTAGTTCCAAGAAAAGGTTATCTTTTGTGAGATCCACGAGTGCGTAACTCTGTGTTATTCGCACAGCTGCCTCTGGCAAGATGGCTATCTAGAGACATGGTAGAGGATGTGTAAGGGAACATGTCTTGCGGGCAATTATCGTGATTGTTTATCACACAAGGTGCAGGTGAATTCCCCCGCGTGTTATTTCCTTTGTGCTACGGATGACGAATTTGTGCTTGAGAATTTTGGTCCAGATGTGTTTAACAAATACTATCTATCATTAAATGCTTACAGAACTTAGGCGATTTCTCATCGCCTAGGTCGTGTATTTCACAAGAGGAACGTGCACATTAGGGCCTAAATTGTTTGAATATTTGTCATGCAAACACTTGCAGGCCTAGCGCATGCTGGCTGTGAGTGGCATTTATGCATTCTGTAGTTTGATATGTATATTTATTTGTAATATACGATTTCTTGTAATCATGGTAATCCGTTGTATAGGTGTGAATAGTGCTGAACCTGGACTGACCACTGAGTGGAATGAACGTGTTGTTCAGATGTTTATCTTGGTGGCTGTTTGACAGTCATTGTATATTTAAAAACGTAGCGTAATTTTTGACATGGGTAAGTCTGTTATAATTATCTACTCATTCCTTTGGTTTTATGCGATTATAAATGGTAAACGTGGGTTAAATGTACCTATACACAACTGTAATTAGTCAGATTCCTTGATTTTGATTTCATTCGTGGTCTTCGGCCAGCTCTATGATAAATGTATATTTTCGTATTACTTTCCGTTGTAAGACATTGCTTATTGCAATTCAGAACTAAACATTTAGTAGACAAGTTAGCATGAAACCTGGTTGAATGGGTAGGAATAATTATGATGAGCTTATTTGAAAATGTGTGGCTTATTATTCTTATTTTCAGCCATTATTAAAATCGACCAATGTGCAAAGATGTTTTTTTTAAATATTTCATTTATATTTGCCTAAACAATAGCTCTTGCTGTGTTTCTGTACAGATTCGGTGTGTATTGTTTATTAGTTGGCTATCAGCGTGTAGTGAGGGTTGCGCTGACTCGCAATACTATACTTTCGTATAGCAAGTAGGCGAGGACAGTTATTCTACCACATCAACCACATTTATGCCACCACATTTGTCACTTTTTTACTACAGCCGTCTTTCCCCTGTGAAACCCGCATCCACGCCCACCTATCTGCTACACCCTCAACCCTGTCTCCCACACACTTTCAGATACGCCTCTTCTGGCGTTTTAGCGTTGTCTGTCTGCTTTCTCATTCACCTGTTTACCGAAAAGCTCTACCAAGATCTACCACACCTACGGATCTTGCACTTTGAACCCATATTTATACCCGCGGTCGATAGTATAGAGGCATGTCCTATAACTGATCGATCAAACGTCGTGTGAACGCTCTCTTCAAAATCGACCCGTGTCGTTTTTTATCCGGGTCAGTCTCGGATCGTTTTCGACTCGGCGTTTTCGCTCCGTGTGAACGCGGCTTATGTAAACCAGACAACCATTGAAATATCACCAAACCTTTCTATTGCACTTGGAAGTTAATTAGCTTGCTATTTGATGTGCTTTAATTGATAACAGTGATTTTATCGTAGGTGTGTTCAGCACCATAATATCTACAATGAATTGTGTATATAACTGTTTGAACTTGGTACTATCTCATATTTCATCTAAAGGAAATTAGTTGCTTGAAATACAGTTAATATTGCATTCAAAAGCCAATATTATTGTCCTTGCCGGTATGGGCATGATATCAGGAATCTATCAATACTCCTGATAATATATATCCCCTCATAGCAAACGCCTCCTCTACATTGCGCGTGCGCGGTTAAACATACCCATGCGGCATGCCTATGCGCAACGTAGAGAGGACGTTTGGCATAGGGGCTGTATTCTATCAAGAGCGTATTAAGTATACTTAATACTTAAATCATGTAAAGCGTATTAAGCATACTTAATACGCTCTTGATACTGTGCTACACCCGCACGAGACTTTGCTAGGTAACCAACCGCTTACGTAGAAAAACACTGGTTAGTCGATTGCGCCTAGGGAAAGAAAACAAGAATATTTTACGTGATTTGCTATCGGTAAAACGGCGTCTTTAACGACACGATAGATGCGTAAGTGGTTAGTAACCTAAATAAAAAACCCGTATGTTGCGACAGACTCCAGCGTGTTTCTGCTGCCAGTTTCGGGTTCAAGTCCCGAACGGGGAGAGATTGTTACTTCTTTGCGCGTTATGCCACGTGTACAGATATCATATGGCACCTACCGCCTCGATTCATATTTTAGAAACCGTCGTGTGACGGTAAGAAGCACTAAGATGTAATAATATATAGCTCGGTGATTAGAAGAGTGGGTCAGAAACAAATGCGTACTACTGCGCGTGCGTACAACTAAATAGGCCAATCATAATTGTATCCCCCGCGACGAAGTCGGCAGGGATACTATGGTTTCATGTCTGTACAGCCGCCGCCGCCGCAGAGATTTCCCCTTCCGCTCTATAACTCGACCCCTAATTGACCTAGCGTGACCAAACTTGGTATACTTACACAGCTTGGGGAGAAGGTGTGCCGCGTACCAAAACCAGGTCACTGCGACCTTTATTTGACCTTTACCTTGACCTTGATCATATTTTCCTTCCGCTCTGTAACTCGGCCCCTAATTGACCTAGCGTTACCAAACTTAGTCTACTTACACATCTTGGGGAGAAGGTGGGCAGCGTACCAAAACCAGGTCACTGCGACTTTTATTTTACCTTTACCTTGACCTTGATCATATTTTCCTTCAGCTCTGTAACTCGGCCCCTAATTGACCTAGCGTGACCAAACTTGGTCTACTTACACATCTTGGGAAGAAGGTGGGCAGCGTACCAAAACCAGGTCACTGCGACCTTTATTTGACCTTTACCTTGACCTTGATCATATTTCCCTTCTGCTCTGTAACCCGTCCCCTAATTGACCTAGCGCTACCAAACTTGACATACTTACACATCTTGGGGAGAAGGTGCGCAGCGTACCAAAACCAGGACACTACGACCTTTATTTGACTTTTACCTTGACCTTGATCATATTTTTCTTCCACTCTATAACTCGGCCCCTAATTGACCTAGCGCTACCAAACTTCGTATACTTACACATCTTGGGGAGAATGTGTGTCGCGTACCAAAACCAGGTCACTGCGGCTTTTATTTGACCTTGACCTTGACCTTGATCATATTTCCTTTTTGCTCTATAACTCGGCCCCTAATCGACCTAGCGCGACCAAACTTAATATACTTACACAGCTTGGGGAGAAGGTGTGTCGCATACTGAAACCAGGTCACTGCAACCTTTATTTGACATTGACCTTGACTTTGACCCTCATCATATTTCTCTTCCACTCTATAACGCGGCCCCTAATTGACCTAGCGCGACCAAACTTCGTATGCTTACACATCTTGATGAGAACACGGGGGATACATGTAGTTGGCGACAACTGCCCTTTCTAGCTTAATAACACGTCGTGGAAGCGATCTCATATTTTGAAGTTGATATGTAGGAATCCTAGGCTGGCCTAGTAATGGTGACATCGTAACATGGGTCATTGGTTTAAGCGTCGTAGGGGCTTGCTTAGTATTAGCCTAACATCTGCTCATATCACTGCTTGAAGCATATCTAGGCTTTGCGTAGAGTTTGGCTAAGTAGGCGCCAGTTATGACAAAGATAGCTCTAGAACTGTGAACCTGTGGCGGAGCGAAGGGCTATAGTTCAAGAGCTATGACAAAGTCAGCTTCGTTGAGGGAACTGTTTGAGTGCTCACATCTTCGTGTTTACCAGACCCAAATATAATTAAACTAGCTTGCACATCGTCGCTAGTGTGTACATTCGTGTGTGCGTATTGGCAAAGTGAGGTTTGTTGCAACCTTGCAAGTACGAATTCGCAATTGATTAAATTATTATCATGTGGGCATCCATCTTGGTTGGTTGTAATGTAGAATTATATTAGCACACGTTTGATTGCTTCCACGCCTGGAAAAGCCTCGCAAGAATTCCGACCGCTCATAGTATCTTCAATACCGTATCGGGAGTGAATACACACAAGTTTGTTTTTGTTCACTCTTGATGTTATGTGTACGTACGTAATCGCCTTGTGGAACGGGCATATTAGTACATCGTTCGTAGAATCCCAGCCTTGTGCATGTGGTGGCGTTTGCATGTTCTCTGTCAGCTGGTTTTTTTGTAATTTAACTGGGTGAACAGCTCGGTATCTGCTAGCAAATGTAATAATTGACTTTGAGCCATCATTGTTGTAATAAATTCTAGTTATTTTTATATTAAATCTATGTTGTGTTATGTTGGTTTTGGGATTATATAACCCGGGCACTTATTGTTAGTATGAGTATGAATATGAGTTAGTATTAGTATAACCTCTGGTGGGTTTTATCCGATTAGATTTTATCAGATCCGATTGGAATTAATCACCCTACTAATCACGCGGATAATCAATCTGTAAATCTAAGGAAATCGTGTGATTATTATAATTATTATCATCATCGTCGTCATCGTCATCGTCTTGACCATTATCATTATCACCAATGAATCGTTATCGTAATCAGACGAAGTCATAATTAATTTCGAATCTAACATCACACAAACAATGCATTGAAAAATTTCTACATCATGCCAGAAATGTGATGAAGTGCCATAAATCACACGAAAATACGATGAAAAATCTTACATCACGCCAGAAATGCAATCCAAAATCTTACATCACGCCAGAAATGCAATCCAAAACCTTACATCACACTAGAAATGCGATGACAAAATATTGCCAGAAATGTGAAGAATATTAAATCACGCCAGAAATACGGTGAAACTCTTAGATCACGCCAGAATAGTGCCGGTGGATAGTGCATATGTTTCTGGCGTGAATTCGAAGTAGCTGATCACACATCTGAATCTATATTAGGCGTTGCGTCGATTATTACATCGCTATGTAACCCGTGGTCTGGCACCAGATAGGTAGGTATAGTGCGCACGCTGCACGACAGTATCAGAAATGTAGTGAATTGATGTTTTATCACTTGAATAGGCTAGTGGAGCGCTAGTCAAATAGGCAAGACAGGGAATTAACATTTATACGGAAAAAGCAGTAACTCCTGACTTTGTTGCTCGGAGAGCTCTATCGAACCCTATCTGCCGTATTTTTATGCTGTTGGGGTCTTTCACTGCCCTTCTACAAATCATAGGCCAGTTTGAAATCGCACCCCGGGTATAATATAGCGCTTTTCCGTCTGTTACCGTTCCTTGAACGTTTTGTCTCGTGTTATCTTGTGGTTTCTGTTTTATGAAGTTACAACTGCATTCAAGCCTTCCCGCCTATATTGGTGTGTTCTCGCGTCAAACCTTCCGCCTCTACTCAAACCTAACACTCATTCTGGAAGTGTACTGTGTGAATGACCAGTGTATCAATCTACCCACTTCAAGTGTCCCGGTCTCACCGGGATCGTCCCAGTGCGACATGCTGGTCCCGGTGCCCCGTTAAGAGTCCAGAAAGTCCCGGTCGTAACATTTTTCAGACATATTTTAAAATTTACATCAGTAAATTCCTAAATTTGCCGTGGTTGTAGATGTACTTTGATTCCAGCGAACAATAGGCGCGTTCACACACAAGAAAAACCGCGATGCTAATCGCGATGAAATACCGAGATAATTGTGTCGTTGTTCACACAGGCGGAAATATCTCGCTAATTGCCGAGTGGGATAATTCTATTAATCGAACTGCGCATGCTCTCTGCCGGAATGATGCTCACTGCGCATGCTCACTGCTCACTCGCTTGGAATGATGGGATAGAAAATACCGGGATTATTTGCGCGAGCGTTCACACACGCAAATAATCGCGCTAATTCCAAATAATCGCAGTCAAAAGTGCGATTTGGAGCGCGATGCTGATCGCGATTATTAGTGAGTATTATT